ATGTATATTTGTATGTACATACACTCACCTGTCTGCACCCATATGTATATCCACACTCCCGTTTACCTGTCATTACACATTTCTACTTACCTGCATAGTAAGCACCTGAGCAGGCATTGGTCCTGAGGACATGCGCGCATTGATGGCACATTCTGTTTCAAAGATCGTTGCTGGTTTGACAGCGGACCAGGCTGAGGATGTGGAGACACGCTACCGTTTGTGGTGGTCGTTGATCCTCATGTGGCACCCAGACAAAACCCCAAGCAAGCCGACAACTGCAGCAGATTTGTGCAAGCACCAGACCGAGTGTCCGAATCATGCAGTGAGCGCATCTTGCATCAATGTCGTGGTGAATGCCCTTGCTGATGGAAGCGCAACAAGTACGACCTGGATCGGACACATGATGTGTTTCACCACCCTGTGCACAGGTAGGCGAACTTACTGCCTTCTCGCTAGTTTCTTGTGCTACATTGTCGGTGCCGTAGTGTATAATGTGTATATGTGTTGGTGTTGTTGGGGGGGGGGTCTGTGCATATTAGCAAACTTTTGGTGACAGGAGCTCTTTCGAAATAGATGAGCAATGTCTCGGGCTGGCTTCGCCTTGATGCGAGGGGGGGCTAGAGCCTTTGCTGGTGCATTGGATGGTTAGGGGCTTAGTTGGTCCTCCTCGGTTGTGGCTGAAGCACTCTCGACCCCTGCAGACGTCGTGCTTGAGTCGTGCGGAGCCTTGCCTGCTATGTGCGAGTGTGAGAGTCGAAATTCAGTAAAGTTCGATGCCGGAATGCTTCTTGCGTCGGGTTCTAAGATCCCTTGATGGGTCTTTCTGCAGAGGGCGGTAGCCCTCTTCGTAGCAAGTGCAGCCGTCCGAGGTCTCCCCTCTGCACATGCACTAGATTAAGTAGGTTCGACGCCAGTCCAAGTCCTTGCAAGTGCAAGGGCGGGATTTGCCTGGCGCAGGTCCACAGTCTGGAGGAATTTGCCGCGGGCAGGCTCAACAGAAAAAAGAAAAAAGTAGTCGGTATTTTGCCTGGGTTGGTGGTTTGCAGGGCTGGATTGGTCTCTGAAAAACGAAAGCTTCAGTCGAAGCTTTGATCTCTTTTCTGCGCATCTAGTTTAGTTTTTTTACCATGGGCTTTGTTTCCCAAAAGTTCCAGTACAGGGAGCTGGGGTCACGATTGAGTGCTTCATCAATGTTCCATGAGTTCCCTGTATGGGGAATTGTCGTATTCTTTTAAGTGGCAATCTCCTGCGGCAGACTCGCATGTCGTAGATCCCCACATGGTTGCAGATGTGTGCATGATGATGTCCATCAGGTTTTAGCCTCATTAACAACCATTATCCAGCGGTAGTGTTTGCAGTTTTCCCGATGGAAAGGAGAGCTTATTTGAGACGGTGGATTGGCAGCAAAGAAGATGCCGTGCATGCTGCAGCGCCCCTAAACCTCAGATGCTCTCCCGACCTGTACCGAGATAGATTGGAGGACCCCTTTCTTTGGATACCCATTTTCTTATGGGATCCCAGCTGTACAATCGGGTCGCGTCGAGTGTCCCAAAGCCCCACAGCGGCAGGCACCTTGCAAAGCCAGAGGTGGCTCCCGCCTCAAAAGGTGGTCTTCGGGGCCTTCGGGGGTGAGGTTATTTGAGGTTACCAGCCTACGATTGCTCGGCTTGTGACGACCAGTCCTGGCAAAGTAGCGGCATGCGCCAAAAGTCTATTCTTTTTCGATGAATTTACGATGTTGTTGTGGCTTAGGGTTTCGTTAAGATTGTAGTTTTGAGATTGTTATGGTATTGAATATTGTTATGGTTTTTTTGCTACACGGGAAAGCACGGCTCGGAAAGCAGCTCGGCTGCAATGGCTGCAAGTCCGAAAACCATATCAAAAACATAGCAAGCACATATCAAAGCCAGTCCTGGAGGAGGCTGGAGACGTATCGAAATCGTATTAATATCGTGTCAGAATCGCATCCAAACTGTATCTAAATTGTATCCAAATCGCGCATGTTGCAGAAAAGCCATAAACTAAGCATAAACCAAACCATAAAAATCATAACATAATCATAAGCCTGAAGAAATCATAAAGAATCGCGGATTCGTGAAACCATGCCAAAACCATAAATTAATCACGAAGGTAATTATTCCTGGAATCTGTTTTGGCCCACGACTCCGGACGTCACAATGCTAGGGTTTTTCTTAGCGGAGTTCAGAGCCCAGGGAAACTTCATTAGTGCTCAGGGCCAGATATAAATTGCTTTGGGGCGCGCGCGCGCGCGCGCTCGAGCATTTCAGGGTGCTACAGAGGATCTCCCTGCTTTGAAGACTCCCGGGTAAGGCAAGGCAGGCGATGGAGCAATGGATTTGCTTCAGAGCTGCAGTCATCTCTTGCAGTGTAGAAGGCTGACCCACTTCGTCAAGAGCCTTGTGCTGGGCATTCCTGCGCCCAGCGCTTCCGTGAGGAGCAAGAGCCGTTAAGACTGGTCCCATCGATGATATCCTCAAGTCATAACCTCAAAGTTTCCACCGCTAATTAGACTTTCACCTCCGGAGCAAAGCAACTCCAGAGCAAAAGCGGTGTGTGAAGCATGACATGGAGCACAACAGCCTTTCAAGGTGCCTGCCGCCAATCCACCACCCTGAGTATCCGGGCTCTTCGCGTGACAGCTCAGCGAATACCGACTGCGGCTTGCTTTTCGGATGGTTGGCCTGCCCGGACAAAACGCGCACCTGCCCAGGATGAGGTTTCAGCTTTGGTTTGGGATTTGTTGCTCTGTCGGGTTTCGGACAGATAAAAACTGTACTGTAGGTATCAAAAAGCTCCGTAGCGATACCACCAGATCTGACAAAGAGTTGTCTTGTAAGAAGCACTAAATCGTTCCTATGCTTGACATTGAAACCCTATAGGAACTTGGACCTATACAGGGCGGATATGCTCAGTTTCATGTCCGAAACCATGCAGTGCCAAGGTCACTCTTGCTTCGGGTGTAGAATAATGCTGAAGAAAGTCGCACGGCTCTGCAGCTGCCATACAACAACTCAAAACAGCTGCGGGTTCATGTCTCGTCTTGGCTCCCAGCCTCAGCAAAGAAAGTGTTGCAAGCCACCGTAGTAAGCCTCATCACAGGCGACCACTTCTTCTGCAATGCTACAGGAGTTCGCTTTGTGACCAAACAACCCTGAACCGCGACCACGGAGTTTGAATGCTTCCGACACTGCATGCGAACCTCTTCGTTTGCTTTCAGCCCTGCGAGATGTCGGCTAAACTTACGTGAACACACGACGTCCAGGGTCCAAACTGCGGCCGCTGTGTGAGAAAAGCCATGGACGACTGGATGATGTATCAGCTTACCGGCGAGCCGCCCCTCGCCAAAATGGGGCTATGAGTGCAGCAAATGCATCACATGAACTGTTTGTAGAGTTGTAGACATGGCAAGATGTCATCGAGACTAGTTCTGCCGCGCTCACTTGCATGTGTGTGTGTGTGTGCCTAGACTTTTTCATGCTCCGCTGCAACCGCTTTGGATGCTGGCCTCCTTCATACCATCAGGGTAGGGACGTTGAACACCGGCAATCACTGATTCTTGTCGGCCTCTGTGAGCTGGAAGCTGGCAGCTATCCGAAGCGACTCCGCTCCGGTCCCTTGACACCGTTCTCCATCCGTACTGAACAAGCTCGGAGTGCTTGACACCTGAGGTCAAATACTGCCTGGAGCTTTGGGTAACTTCCATATTATGCAAAGCGAGATGGGGACGATGTCCCTACGGACTGGGTGGGTGTCGGGACGGTGTCCCGACGGGCTGGGCTGGGCCGGGATGAGGTCGGGATTTGCTGGACTAAGTGCCGTTGCAGTCGGTGATGTGTCCAAACGAAGCCGCAGAGTTGTGCATGGGAGACCAGATCCATGTATGCTACTGTGCGCCCTGACGCTCGAGATGTCTCCTCAGGCGATACATCTCCTCCCACCGGAAGAAACTAGCGCTACGTGCCGGTTTGATGGGAGGCTGCCTGTGCAAGTATGTCATCTGTTTTGGAAGCAGGTCTCGAGGGGGCGAATTGTTCAGAAATGTTCAAAAAGGCCGTAAAGTCCAGGGGGGTGTAGGGTTGTAGCGTGGTGCCGAGTCCCTCATTACTCCACAAGCCAGGAGGGGAAACGTTTGGATTCAGAGGCATCCTGCTCTCGATATGCACTCTTGGGGTCCGTTTGGCTGGGGCCCACTGTGAAGGATTCCTTGCTGAAGGGGTCTGGAAGAAGTTACGGTTCAGTAATGCATGTACCGCGCAAGGCCTTGGATACGGCTTAGAGGGTCTTTAGTGTGTGCATTTCAGAGGTTCCCATGAGCTTGATGAAGCCATTTTTGCTGCCCAAGCTACATGTCTCAAAAATTCCTACACTCGCCTAAACCAATCTTTGCGGCTACTGATGCCTTTGTATTCCAACTTAACCGGTTTGTGCTGCAGCAGTGCTCGATTGTTAGCTTGCGTTGAGATGCATCTGCTTTGCCATTCCACTGTCCAGCTGCCTCAGCCAACACGACGTTGTACTGCCGCCAAGCGAAGTAGTAATTAGTAAACATAGCTCTCCGAAAGAATTGAAAAACTGGCATACTCGTCCCGGCTTGCGATGCGAAAGCCCTAGCCCGTATTGGGTTATGACTGGACCGTGTGATGACACGTCGACACTGACAGAGGTAGAGAGCAAGCAAGCAAGCAAGCAAGCAAGCAAGAGAGACAAAGACAATGATCATCATGAATCCAGGTAAGCCCTTCCGGAAATCCTGTAAACAGGGAGCTTACAAAAAGCAATTATAGGAAGAAGCTCGCACTACGAGTCCCGCAATCAGCAAGCAGATTCAGACGAGAGGCGAAAGAAGCGCCAGGCCCCCTTGACCCGCGCAACACACTTACGCTTCAGTATGGCACGCTCTGTATGGCTTCGCTCTTAATCAATCTCATAGGCTTCTCTAGATTTCATGTGTCAGGCTTTAGCTGGGTGAGTGTTCGCAG